CTTACACAAAAACATATTCTCTCTCTTACACACACACACACACTGTCACACTCTCACAGATACTTACTTACACACACACACATGGACGCACACACATTCTTTTTCTCTCTCGCACTCTCACACAATCACACACACTCATGCACTCTTTCACACTCTCTCACACACACACACACACACACACACACTCGTTTACTGATGCTCTCGATGTCACACACTCGCTTACTCTCTTTCACACACACTTTCAATGCATCACACACACACACACACACACACACTTGCTCACTCTCATTTTTTTCTCAGATACACACACAAACACATACTCTCTCTCTCACACACACAGACACACACACACTCACACACACACACACAGTCGATCACTCACTCACACACTCTCTTTCTCTATGCCTCACACACACACACACACACACACACACACACACTCGTTTACTGATGCTCTTAGTGTCACACACTCGCTTACTCTCTATCACACACACTTTCAATGCATCACACACACACACACACACACACACTTGCTGCACTCTCATTTTTTTCTCAGATACACACACAAACACATACTCTCTCTCTCACACACACACACACACACACACACACACACACACACCCCAACAACACCAGCAGTAGGAGCTCATATGGGCTCAAGGTGCTCACTGGAGCTGTAGCTACACACACACACACACTAACAGATACACCGATAAATCACACACACAAACACATACATACGCACACTTTCAAAATGTGCACACACACACTCGCGCACATATTCATAGACACAGATGCGCGCGCGCACACACACACACACACACACACACACACACACACACTGATTTTCACACACATGCACACTGACACTCAAACAAGCAGTCATGCACAGACACTTAAGCACACAAACTCACAACCAAACACAGACGTTCACAAACACACACACTAACACATACACATGCAAATGCATACACACACACACATTCACACCGACGCTCACTCACTCTCATTGTGAACTGTGATTGTAATATTTACATTACATTATGTATCTAAATGTGTGTGTGTGTGTGTGTGTGTGTGTGTGTGTGTGTGTGTGTGTGTGCGGGTGTGTGTGTGTGTGTGTGTTCCTCAGGGTTATTTCTCCGACTCAGTGCTGTATTACGGTTATTACAGTAATCAGACTCTGCAGTCGGGCCGCCGCTGTTCTCAGAGCAGTAACGGGACGTCCTGCGACGCCGCTTTCTCCTATAACATGCCTCTGGTTTACTTCTTCACCATCGGTGCTGCGTTCTTCATCACCTGCATCATCCTGGTCTACAGGTCTGTGCTGAACACACTCAATATAAACACAGATCAACACTTCAGAAGAGCCACACGGTCTGCTTCCACTCCCATGAAAATGCATGAACTAAATACAGTTCTGAGTTTAAAGATCTGTCAAACACGTCAATCTAAATCTCAAATATCTGAATTGTAGTATATATATATATATATATATATATATATATATATATATATATATATATATATATATATATATATATATATATATATATATATATA